TCCGCCGCTGCCGCTGCCGGCGGAGGCCTTCGGCCGTGAGTAGCGAAGGGTGCGGGGGGAGTGCGGCGGCGCGGGGGGGATGCTCGTTCTCCCCCAAGGGTGAGCGGGGTGATGCCGCCCGCCACAGAGCCTGCGAGAGGCCGGGGCACTGGTGCCCTTGGGAAGCCGCCTGCAAGGGCCAGGGGAGCACCACAGCCCGGGGCCGGGTGGGCCTGCGGGGATGCTGCCGCCGCCACCGCTGCCCTTGGGATGCCTCTTGCCGGGAGCGTGCAGAGCGGCAGTGTCCTTGGGAGACCGCGCCGAGCCACCTCCAGCCTGCCCTCTTCTCCGTGGGGCCCCCCCACCATGCTGGACCTTGTGGGGTGAGAGATGAGCCCTTGGCAGCCCAGCCCAGCCCACCCCGGGAGCTGACCCTTGCCCAAGGTGGGCAGGAGGAAGAGGAGAAAAAGGAGGGTGGGCATGGGGAGCTTTGCAGGGGCGTGAGCACTGGGGTGTCTGAGCTGCCTTCCTCGTTCTCCTAGATCCGCATGTCAGACCAGAACAGCACCGACGATGGGGAGTCAGACCCCCAGCACAGCCTGTCTATGGTCTTCCTCCTCGTCCTCGTCTTCTTCATCATGGGACTGGTGGGTTTCCTGATCTGCCATGTCCTGAAAAAGAAGGGTTACCGGTGCCGGACTTTCCGGGACGAGCTCGACCCAGATAACAAAGACGTGTTGGCAGAGCTCCAGGCCAGTGAGTGCTGGGGTGATGGGGGCTCAGTGGGGGCTTGGGTACTTCCTTTTACCCAGCTCAGACCAATGCTCCTTAAACATGCTTCTGGGATACAGGCTGGGGGTGGGAGGGTTACCTGTCACATGCTGCTGCGTTGGGAAAAAGGGATGGGTTGTGAGAGAAGCACAGTGTTCCCTAGTGATCAGAGACTACAGCCCAGAGAGCCCTCTGATCTGCTGGCTCTGCAGGCTGGCAGAAGCTGGTGGTGTCAGGAAGGTGGTCCTTCCCAAAGTGGCGTTATCACCAAAAGATAATTCTGATGAACAGCCAGTGCCTGAATTATAACCCGTGTCCCCTCCAAGGAAAGCATCCTCCAGCCAGGGCATGAGCTGTCTATCTGCCCCTTTGGTATTAGGAGGTCTGGCATGGGGCCAGCATGGTGTCTGCTATAGGTCATGTCCTCTTCCAGTCCCTGTTGTGCCCAGAAGAACAGGGGTGTTTCCTTGGGATCTCTGCCCCACACTGGAAGGGGATATTTAGGAATTTTTCCCATCACTTCAGGCCACCATAACCGGCTCTTGGGTAGTAGGATTGGGAAGTTAGTGCAGTGTCTAGTGCGGGTGCAAGCCAGAGCTCAGTCCAAGCAAGATCTGTTGTTTGATGGTTTCATGAGGCTCTGCTGAAATGTAGAAGAAACTTTTTTTCCAGCTGCTTCCTTACCTGAAAATGGCCAAATGGTGCTACATAACTCCTCTGGCTCCTCTGTGCCACTGTCAGCAATTGGGAGAGTCAGCATATCCCGCTGCCACTTCTTGTGCACAGGAGGGAAACAGGGCTCCCCCAGCTCCCCTGCAGATGCGGCGGGGGCTTCCAGGTCTCTTGGATATGCTCTGGCTTCAGTGACTTGGCTGCACATGACATGGAGACAGTGTCTGAACCTTCCAGGATTGGCTTTGCTTGCTGGAGTTGCCACAGCACAGGGAAACATTTGTGGGCTTCCAGGAGCACAACAGCAGCCCCCGACTGTGTGTTTTGAGGGAGCTGCCTACCATACCTGCTCACAGGACCATATACCACCACAGACTGGGCTGAAGGTCCAGACAGCCAAGCCTCCTGCCTCCAACAGTGACCAGAAGCAGGTTGTGATGAATGCTGGGGATGAATACCATAACGGAGCAGACACTGAGCCAAGTTTCCCCAGCATACCCTTTTAAACTTCCAACAGAATGTAGCTCCAGGGCTATCTCTGCCAGAGATGGTTTTTCTGGATTTAACAGGCCCCAGTGGGTTTATTTTCTATGAACTTGTCCCATTTACCCTTGGAGAATTTTAGCACCCACAGCATTCTGCAGTCAGGCCCTCCAGGGCTGGACTGTTCCCATGAGGAGCTTACTCTTTCAATGTGTTTCAAATCTGCTCCCCGCTCATTTCTCATGGTGCTCCACAGTTCTGAAGGAGCAACACAACCCCTGTCTCCCTGCACACATGGCTGACATTTTAGCCATTTCTTTTCCAGGGTGAGGGATCTGGTGTTCCCCAAGAGCTTCCCAGCATGATGGGAGACACGAGGCTTCTCCAACCTCTCTGGTGATGTGGCTGTTCCTGGGGAGGGACTGGTGAGCTGACTGTCCAATTCCCAGCCCTCAGTGCCACATTTTCTCTTTGCAGATGAAGAAGAGGAGCTGAACGAGGACACTGTGGAGAAGATTGTGAGGTGCATCATCCAAAATGAAGGTGAGCATTTCCTAGGGCTGGCCTGGAGATATGCTGACCGCTTTGGCTGATGCATTCCCTTTTTCTTCTTCAGCAAATGCGGAGGCCCTCAAGGAGATGCTGGGGGACAATGAAGGGGATATCCCAATGCCAATGCCCAGGTGAGGGAAGCCCGTACTAGCTTGTGGCTCCTACACAGTAAGGGAGAAGCAGCCTTTGGGTATCGCCTTGGTCTGGAGACTTTGCAGCCAGCTCCTTTCCAGCTTGTTATAAAGCATCTTCCCAGTAAGAACTCCTGCCCCTCTGAGGGTTGTGATGAGTGCATCACCCCACGGTCAGGGGCAATAGCGCTTCTTCATTCCTGTGCTCACAGAACATCCCCTCCAGAGCTGCTGCTTCTCAGGGCTTGCTGCAGTGAGCTGCACGAGGGTTGGGAAGTCTCCTCCAGATAATGCGACCTGTCATGTCCTTCTATTGCAGCCTTTGTCCCCACCGCAACAGCCAGGACGGGGGCCCACCACATCACCACACGGTGCATCTGGGCTCCACGCAGGCCCCCTGCATCCACTGCAGCAAGAGGAAGAGACACCCGCTGCATCGACAGGGACGGTCCAAGGATGGCAAAGGCAGGATGCATCCTGGAGAGACCACTGTCTTCTCAGTGGGCAGGTACCCAAATGAACCTTGCCAGACATGGCCCATCTGCTCTCGTCACGGAGAGTCTTCTCAGTTCCCCTATTCCTTTCCCCTTCCCCACTTGCCCTACGCCAGGTACCCTCTTGCTCTTCCCCATGTAGATGCCCCAGTAGTTAGTAGCTCTGCAGTTGGGAGTTCTGAGGACCCAGGTGCCTCTTGCACCTGGAAATGCCTGTGGCATGCGGCAGGCCATGATGCACCGGTGGCTTTCCTCCTTCTCCGGGAAGGTGACTAAAGCCTGGGCTGTCCCGCTGACTCAGTGCTGGGCAGAGCCCCAAATCCACGTCCTTTCAAAGCCAGCTGTCCCAGCTATGTGCAACCAGGGCTCTTGCTGCCCAACAGGGGCAGTGACCCCAGGTTTTAGGGTTCTCATTAGGAGGGGCAGGAGTTGACAGCATGTCCCAGGTGCAAGTTATCAGCCACCACTGTCAGAATGAAAGAGTGGCTGTGCTCCTCTAGGTCGTTGCCTCCAATGATAACTGCAATTAGATGACATGGCAGGAATATAAGAATAGAGGAGTGTACCTGATATTTCCCACAAATACTTTTCCACTCCCCATGTGGTCTCACCTCAAGGGACTTCCTGAGCTGCTTGTGGTCTCTGTGTAATCTTTAGTACAATCTGCATTCCCCATCAGAAAGGTTTAACATGTACAAGACCTTTAGCAAAGTTTTGCAGTGCTCAGCTCTCTCCTGCAGTGGTGACTGGGGCAGGGTGATGAGCAGCTACTGGTCCCTGGATGAGCAACCTGGTGAGACACAAAGCTCTGCTATACTCAGACCCCGCAGCAGGTCTTCGTTCAGGGCCTAAGCCTTGATGAAGCTGCATGTTGTGGTCTGGAGAGACAGTCCTTTCATGGTGATGTTGAGCCAGAGTGGGCACCAGGGGGGTGCGGGTTTTTCACAGCAAGGAGTCTCAGCAGGGAGATGAACAGGGAGATTTATGGGGAGCTGGTGAAGGGAAGAGACACGCCAGACCTCCTCGTGCTGAACTCCAGCTAAGATCACACCTTCTGGAGACTGACAGCTTCTGGCTTCCTCTTTGCCTGTTGCTGTCAGCTGTCATAGGTGGTGGTGTTTGGTAAGCCAGGTCTCTGCACAGTTGCGTATGCATGGCTAGCTCATTCTCTGGCTGGTGCCCAGCCCCATCCACTCCTCTGTGTCCTTTGTCCATGCTCTTCTCAGCCTCTTTTGCTTACCTCTGAGTGCTGGAGAAGATAGTCTCCTTTCCCAAAGGCACGATACCTCAGATCTTGGTTTTCTCTTTTTATCCTTGTTAATATCCTGTGTCACATCAGACTTCTCCATGGGACAGTCATTACATTTCTCCAATGTTTTATTTTAAAAGTTTCCACTTCCTGAATCTCCTTGGTATAAGATTCAGCTGCTAAGGGACCTATGTGTCCACGAGGTACAAAACTACCTCCAAATTCTGGTTCTCATTTCCAAGCTGGCCCCTTTACTTTTTCAGATTCTGGCTGACTTTTCTGGGACTGCCCTTGCTGTGTCTTATTTACTATGAATATCTTGATTGCACAAAGTACTTTGACTCGTGGCTCATCCTACATACAAAAGCTCCTTTAACTCACCTCCTCTGTTACAATCTTCAGGTCTGTTTCTTTCTTTTTATTTTGCTATTAGTTTTTTCTTGGACAGAGTGGTTGAGAGTCCAGCCCCCTTTCCTATTACCTACAGCTCATTGGCTGAGTCTGGTCATCGCTAAAGGAGTGGAAAGGAGTGAGGTTAGTGAAGGTCCACCAAGATCATCAGGGGCTGGAGCATGTGACGTGTGAGTTGTTGAGGGAACAGTGTTTGTTTAGCCTGGAGAAATGCAAAGGGGCATCTAATTGCTCTCTAAAACTCCTCAAAGAGGTGGGAGGAGTTTAAATGAAGATGAAGCTAGACTCCTCTCAGAGATGCACAGGGAAGGGGAAGAGGCAATGGCTGCAAACTGCAACAAGAGAAATCCAGGAAAAACTATTTTACCCTGAGAGTGGTGCAGCCCTGGGACAGGGCCCAGAGGAGTGGAGGGATCTCCATCCTCGGAGCTTTCCAAAACCTGACTGGACAGGGCCCTGGGCAACCTGACTGAGGGTGGGAGGTGGCCCATTTTCAAGCAGAGGGTTGGACTGGAAAGCTCCCAAGGGCTTTTTTGCACCTAAATTATTCTATACTTCCGAAGTAATCAGAGTTATATGATCTGAATGATTTACAATTTATCTTAGGGCTTTCCCTAAACCAGTTGTTGTCAGTGGTGTTGTCCACCAAAGCATCTGTGTCTGACCCCCTGTCCTTAGCCCTATCAGTCAAGGTGTGTCACGTCCTACTGAATCAAATGCCTCAGTGATGCTGACTAGGCAGATAGCCAACACTCTCCTGCCTTTCCCCTCAGGTTGGTTACTTTACCTCTTGTGCCCCCTCCAGTCTGAACCCTGCCTGCTCTTTGAATCTCTTCCCAGCTCTTCCAGGATGACATTGCTCAATGACATTATCAAGAGATGATCCTGCTACTCGTGCCTCCTCCCCATCCCTCTTTGGGACTGGGATGTTGTTTGGTCTTCCTGAATCTCAGTGCTGGTGCCTTGTCTCAAATATCTGGATAGACCTGAAAGGTCACATTTGCTGCTGCTTGGCCTGACTTGAGCAGTCCTGTGGGTACTTCACCAGGAATGGAAACATTTCTCTTCTTGTCCCTTTTAATCATGAGCAGCATTTCTGACTGCAGTGCTAAGGGGTGTGTACTGTCCACAGACTGTTGCCTGGTCCTCTTCTGGTGGTGTTCTTCTTCATCTCTGGCATCTCATCTGGCATCTTTTCTTATTTCTCAGACTTTTTTTTCTCAGCTTCTTCCTTCAGAATAGCTGTACTGCCATGTGCTTGACCTTTGGGTCTTGTTCTTCTTTCAACACCAGCAGTGCTTGAACTTCACTGCTGAAATTGTATTTTGCCCTGATGCTGACTTGCAGCTGAACCCCATCAGAGCCAGGGCCATCTGCAGCCTCTCTGCATGTGACTCGAGTGCAGAGAGCGTGGTTGCTGAGTGAGTCATGGCTGCATGAGATCTCTGTGGTGGGATCAGTGTTCTTTGGCTGGTGGACTCCAGCTCACTACGGAAGAGATTTCCCATCTGCTGATCCAGCAGTAGCTTGCATTGCTTATGAAGAGGAGTCACAGTGTTAGTCAGAAACAAGTTACTTGCAATTCTGACTTCTAGGCTTTGCCTATGTGTTACCCCTCAGAAATCCCAAAGTTATGTTAGATCCCTAACTTTTCTCCTCTTCCCACATGCAATATTGCATCACCTCTGATTATAACCACACCCTTTGTGGGTGTCAGACTACTTTCTGCACCTGTTCTCCTGCCTATCCTGGAGATTTAAGCTGTTACCTGACATATGGTGGAACCTTGGTGAACCACCTAGGTACCATCCATCACTCCATGGGATGGCACACAACATGCTCTGGCTGATTTTAGCCAAACAACTACTCCTGGCTTTTGATCTCTGTACCCAAATATAGCTCACTCTGCTGAACCCTGTCCCTGACACTCAGCGTGTACTGCTTGCCAAAACTCTGGCTCTTGTTCCCCTGATGGAAATCCGCCACTGGGTGCAACATCCATGCAGCTCTGCACAGCCATCCCTTCTTCACCAGGCTTAGCTGGTTTGCATTTCACCTTCTGAATCAACACCTGAGTTTCTGTACAAGCCCCTTTCACCTAGGTTGCATCTCGGAGCATTTCCAAGAGCCGTAACCCATCTTGTTGGTGGGCTCTGGACCAGCCAACATCTGGATTGATATTTTCATCCTCTTTCTAGTTGTTCTGCCAAAAAATGAAGGGGAAAATGGGGTTAAGTCAATGGAGGCATGGCCAGAGTGGGGGTCAGTGGTGTTGAATGGGTCTGAAAGGTTGGAGATCAGCACCACTACATCGCAGAGAAAGGAGATCCAAGGCTGGAGGTGAGGGCAAGCTGGAAATACAGCTGGGAGAGAGGAGGGAAGGGATTTTGATCCATCCTGCACTCATTCCAGGTTTCGTGTCACACACATCGGGAAGAAACCCACTTTCCACGAGCAGCAGGATGGTCCCCTGCCTGACGGCAGCCGGGAGCCAAGCACGGAGGAGCTGGAGCGCAGCAGCGAACGGCTCCAGCACGAGTGGGCTCGCAATGGGACTGTCCCCACTGGTGGCCTGCAGAACGGAGCTGTCCAGAAGGGTGCCCAGAGCAGCAAGGGTGGGGAGCAGAGCCGCTCCACCACTCCAGCCCGGAACACACCAGTCAGCTCCAGCACTCATGACAGCAGATGGGTGGGCAAGGGGTCCAGCATGGCAGGCTCGCTGCAGGATTCTGGCACTGCTCCTGGGAGCATGAGCCGCCAGCGGAAGCTCCTGAGCCATCGGATGCTGGGAGGGTCGAGTCCCAGTATCCCAGGAGAGCTGGTGCAGGAAGGAGCCAGCATCTGCCTGGAGGAGACTGGACTGGGGTCAGCAGATGAAGTGTCGGATATTCATGGGAGCCTGAGTCTGCATGAACAGGTTGAGGAGTTGGGACAAGATGACAGCAGCAGAAAACAGTCCGGAGCGGAGGACATGGGGCAGCAGGTAGGTTCCTTCTCTTCCTTGTCCCCCTGTGGTCCCCTGAGCTAGAGGGTTTGAAGGGTTGTGGCACAGCACCCCACATCCTGCTGCCGACAAGATCAACCCGCAAAGCGTTGGTGGTGTGAGCTGTGCAGCGAGGACAGGCGAGCTGAGACTTGCACTGGGCTGACTGCAGCATGGAACCCGCCCTGTCCTGCCCACCCTGTTTCTGCTTGCCTTTTTTGATTGCATTTTCCCATTTTCTAACGTCTGGGGCATGTAGAGTCATCATGACAGTTCCCACCCTGCTGGTACCTGCACTATGGGGAAAAGGCAGGTCACTGGTTGACTTGCATTTCAAATGCTGCAGACCTGCTGCCAGCTGCCCCTCAGGCAAGGGATCCATTGGGATCACTTTTTCTTGACCTTGGGGAACTCTGCTGCTGCAGATAGTCCCCCCAAAACTGTAGCTTCACTGCAGTGCTGGGGCTCAATGTGGCCAGCAGTGTACAGGCAGGGACAGATGTCTCCAGGAGCCTTTCTTGCCTTGAAGTCTCAGGAACAGTGAAACCAACTGGTTGTTTCTTGTTTGTTCTTCCTTGCCCTGGAGGGGCTGGTGCTGGCTATGCTCAGAGAGAACAGCCCACTCTGGGCCAACTGGGGGGCTCCCAGCACCCTGGTATCTCCCAGCCTTCCTACCCAACCACCTTGCTGGAGGTGCTAGAGTGCTCCAGGGCAGCACTGGCAAGGACACCATCTGCTTGGCCTCTGATTTGGGGGATTTGCTCTCTGCCACTGCCTCCAGGCTGTTACCACTGAGCAAATGACACAGTGGTGGTAGCAGACACCCAACACATACACTAACTCACGTGGTTCTGCAATTGGGGAAAGATGGTTTTCATGTAAGGGGACTGGGGGAAAGCACCTGGTGTGGCGTCACCCTACCAAGGTGGGCTTGGGGAAAGGTGTCTAGCTACATGTAGGCTAAGGCAAAAGGGAGGAACATGCTGTGTTTATTGTGTCTTTCTGCTTTCTGGTGGCTGGGCTGGAAGGGTCTGGGCTCCTCCAGGCTGGAGGCTTGAACTGTTTTATGGAGAAAGGCAGCCCAAGGCCATCACGCCAGACAGAGTGGATGGGCTGCAGCTCTTCTCTGGAGACCTGGAGAGGCGGCAACAGGTCCCCTCTTCTCCCATGGCCCCTCTGATCTCCAGGGAAAGATTCACATGGAAGACAAGGCCAGGGATACTGTGATTTTTCCCCTCTTTGTCTGTCCCGTCTGTAATGGCAGGCTCTTGTCTCAGACCCTGTGCCAGGCTTTGGGGTGTTTCTTCAGCATGCTCCCGAACACAGAGGCCCAGGAGAACAGTGATGGGACCTCACTGGGACATTTACCACTGAGCCCTGGTGTTGCTTGGACTATCCCTTGTCCCTTAGGTCCCAGCCAGGGCCACCACAAGTGTTGTTAGCCACTGCTCAACATGTACTGCAGGTGAAGGGGCCTCACTGGGGTTGAGCCTGGGCATGACTGCTGCAGACAGCAGAGCCCGTCTTGTCCCCTCTCCCTCGCAGCACTCCCACACCCTGACATCCACATCCCTCCTCCCTCCCACAGGAGCCCAGCGCCATGTTGCAGGACCGAGGAGCAACGGTGTGACGTGAGTGCTTCTCCCCAGTCCCTGGGGCGATGTCCAGGGTCGGGGGGGGGGAAGGCACCGGGAGCCCAGTGGTGGAGAGAGGGTGAACCCCTTCTCCAAGAGGGCTTGTTCCCGATGCACTGGGTCCTGCGTGAGCAGGTCCTCTTACCTGCTGGCTGCCAGCTGTGCCAGCTTTGGGCAGACACTGGGCCAGGGCAGCCTGGCCTGTGCTGGCAGGGAATGCCACGGCTGTGGGGAAAAACCCCATCCTGCCCCTCTCCCCACAGCTCCTCTCCGCTCCCCGCTGGAGTGTGGACAGGAGGTGCGTGGCCCCTAGTGCCCATGCTGGGCTAGGGGCTCTGCTGCGGGGGGACCGTGGGGCAGTCGGCCCCAGCCCCGGGTGGGCAGCTACGCGCTTGGCATGGCCGGAGCGACGCGCCGATGTTACAGACAACTGCACTCGGCGCCAGACCTCATCCCATTGGCAATAGGTACCCAACTCCCACCCACCGTACCCACCCCAGAGACCCTCTTGGGGGACCCTCGGGCCTGGCAGGGGCAGGACAGAGCCCAGTCCCCGCTGCCCACCTGGCCCCCGCAGCCCCCCAGCGCTGGGGAAGGATGCATCGGAGGAGGCTGTGGCGAGGTGCAGGGACGGAGGCAGCGGCTTTGCCCCCACCTTGGGGTGGGTGGCAGCACCCCTTCACCCACCCAGCACATCCACTGCAGAGCACAGCTCCCCCGGGCACCCCTGCCACACAGAGTGGTCACAGGCACAAATCCTGCAACGGTGAGGGACCCTGCAGGTCTCTGGGAGATGCTGGCAGAGAGAGGAGCTTCCAGACCCATCCTGACACAGGAGGGGCCAGAGCCCGGCCCTGGGGGCAGGATCACACCCCGGCCAGGCCAGCGGCCAGCCCTGGTGCCCAGGACAAGCTTTGGTGTGTAACTGCACTGTACATAGACAAGCTAAAACCATTAAAGCTACTGAACCCCACGGCAGTCAACTGGCTTTATTGGGGCACAGCCCCCCGCGCCGCTTGCCCACTCCTGACTGGGGGGAGATGCCTGGGGGGCAGGTAGGGCCCTGGGGCTGAGCCCCCCCCCAGGGAACCAGGGCTGCACTGGGGTTGCACAGGTGATGCCAGGCAGAAGGTGCAGTCAAGAGCTGGGTGAGACGGGGCCCAGCCATGGCACTGAGCACCCCAATAAAGGGGCTGCCAGGATGCCCTATGCTGTGTAGGGATGCAGGACCACTCTGCAAGCAGCACTGGGCAGGATGTGGCCCCTGGAGAGACCAGCTCGGGGCATGGGGCAGCATCAGCCCCTGCTGCTGGGGCAGCATCAGCCCCTGCTGCTGGGGCAGCAGCCCATGGCAGCTTGCTTGGGTGAAGCTTTCTGGGGAGCGGGGAGGGATGGGGGACCTGCAGCGTCAGCTGAAGTGCAGCTCAGGGTCAGGCTCAGGGGCTCTGCCAGGTGGTGGGGGGGGCGCACGGAGCTGTGGAGAGAGGAGAGGAGAAGCAGTGCTGATACACCAAGGCTGCTCACCCTGCTTCAGATGCACACGGGTGGCATAACTGGGGGGGCACAGCATTGCTGTGATGGGGCATACCGGCCGGAGGCGGGTGGCTGCCAGGTCTGGAGAGCTCTGACCACTGCCTGTGCCATCGTGCCTGCAACCTGGAAGGGCCTGGCAGTTCAGCCAAGCTCACCACATGTCCCCACAGCCCCTTTTGCAGCCTCCCTGGCACTCACCTCCCAGTGGCATTTCAGGAGAGGGGCTGGGTGCCAGGCTGGTCCTGGGCACAAGGCCAGGAGGGGAGAAGGGTGGTGGGGATGGTGATGGCAGCTCCTGAGAAGACAGAGCCAAGATGGGTGGGAGCAGTCACCAGCAGTCCTGGCAGAAGATGGGGGGCTGCCTCACGCCGAGGGGACATGGTGACCCTCCTGGTACTGACCTGCCCAGCTGCCCCCTGGCCCCCAGTTAGCTCCTCCACCACCAAGGAGGGGAAGCAGCCAATGCGGCCGTTGAAGTCGCCCATCCAGAAGCCATCATCCACCTCACCAGGGGCACGGGGCAGCACCCGGATGATGGCCCCCTCAGGGAAGCTCAGCTCCTCAGGGCTCTGCCCCTCGTAGTCGTACAGGGCTCGCACCAGCCAGGCTACAAGGAGGATGGGATGGGATGGGGGCTCAGCACACACCAGTGCTGCTGCTGCAGGGGGTCAGTGTCCCCTGGACACCAGCCCCTCATCTGTCTCCTTCCCCAGGGGAGGTGACACCCCAGCACCCACCTCCAGGCTCCAGCACCAGTTCTGCAGCCATGATGCTGGAGAGCTGGCGATGCAGTGCAGAGGGTCCTGGGGGGCCAGCCTCATCCCCCAGCTCACCACCCAGGGACAGCAGGTACTTTTCAGGGACATAGCCAACTTGGCCCACCTTGTTTCGAGCCTGAAGGGGCAGAAAACACTTCATCGTCGCAGCCCCCAGGGCAGGGATAGTCCTGGGGACCTCTGAAATGTGTCCCCTTGAGTATGAGCCAGTGGGGCTCAGACTGCTCCCACCTTCACCCACTCCTCTGCATCACCATCCTCGATGATCTCCAGCTCCTCACCCTGGGTGATGGACAGTTCATCTGCCTGGCAGCCCTACAGGGGACAAAGTGGCAGAGAGGCTAAGGGTGCTGGTCCCGAGCAGGCAGGGTGAGGGAGAGGGAAAGGCAACCATGACTGTACCTGGTATCCAAAGATCACCCTGCAGGTGTAGGGGTAGGTGCGGGCAGTAGGGCCAGGCTCATTGTCCTCATCTGGCTCATCACTGTCCTCATAGTCGTCAAACTCAGACAGATCCAGCCCTGCAGGTGCCGCCTCGCCTGCTCCCACCATGGCCCCCGCCAGCCAAGTGTCCACGTCCAGCCCCGCTGCCCGCAGCAGCGCCAGCCGTGCTTCTGCCTTCACCCGGCTGACCTGGGGCCACACACATTGTCAAGGTGTAAGGCGACAGCTACAGGGTGGGGGGACAGCCCAGCAAGGCCCATCACTCCCCGTCCCAGCGTGGTTGCCATGGTGGCAGAGCACCCCCAGTGCCACATCCCCAGCCACACACCTCCCCATCCCTGCATCCCCCACCCCAGGGGTGACAGACCTTGAAGCTGCCCTGAGCTTCCTGCCTGGGGAACCCACCTCTGCCTTCCGGATGTTTTCCCTCGCTTCTTCCATCTGTCGCTCCATGGTGGCTGCCTCCACCTCTGGGACCTGCTGCCGCCTGGACTCCAGCCTCTGCAGCACCTGGGTGGGCACCCACAGGTCAGTGGGGTGGTGGGAGCTGGGAGGGGCAGGGAAAGCCCATTCCTGAGAGCCCCCCTGCACTCTTCAGGGAAGGACAGCACCTACCTCCTCACTGTGCGCCTTGTTTTTGCAGTCCCGAGCCACCCGCGTGGCCCAGCGCCGTGCCTCCTTCTCCAGGCTGGCCCCATCATCCCCCGGTGGCAGCAGGCACACCTGTGTGAGGACAGGGTGGCTGAGAAAGGGCTGACTGTGTGGACCCCTCCCTGCCATAATGTCCCCTCTGCCACCCACCTCCTCCACCCCGGTGAGCTGGAAGCGCTGTTCGGAGGCCAGGGCGAAGGCGGGGTGGTCCTGCAGGAAGAGGAGTAGGTCCTGCTCCCGGCACACCTGCAGCAGGGGAGCGGCATGGGGCTGGGGGAGCTCACACGTCCCTTCCAGCCCCAGCCAGCTCCCGGGATGGGTGCTGTTACCCGCGTGGACGCCTCCGCGATGCCCTGGAACCAGTCCCGCGTGGCCCGGGAGGTCTCCACCTCCGTCTGGCTGGCTACTGACAGGTGCTCCCGCAGCCGCTCGTAGAGGTCACCATCCAGGGCCTGGGGGAACACGGGTGGGAACGCCCCCCCCCCGGCACTGCCCACACTCCCCTGGGGAGCATCCCTGACCCCCCAGGGCAGCTGGCTCTGACCCCACACCAGCGGGACACTCCCTGCTGCAACCCCTTGCAGTGGCATCAGGGAGATGCTTCTCACAGGACCCAGAGGAGGGGACGTGGGGTGGTCCGAGCAGCTCCTACCTGCATGGCAGCGGGCAGCTCCACCCGCCGGTAATGCTCCAAGTGGGAGGTGGCAGACACCAGGGCAAAGCCATACTCGTTCTGTACCCCCACCAGCTGCCTTGAGTGCTCAGCCACCCGTGACAAGAACTGTAGGGATGGGGAGAGCGGGCTTAGTGATGGGGTGGGGGTCACTGCCCCATGTGCCCCTGCACCCCTCTGCTTGGGTACCCCACTGCTCCCCGGCACTGCTGACCTTGGCGCTGAGTTTTTGCAGGCTAGCCTTGGTGTGAAATATCCTCCGGTCACTCTTCTGGAGCCTGGAGAGAATGGATTGGGGCGGGGTGGGTGTGACCACTCTGTGGCCACAGCAGCACCCCACCATGGTCCTCTCTGCTCACCGAGCCTCCACGTCAGCCGCCTTGTCCTTGGCCACCTCACTGCTCCTCTGGAGGTGGGTGAACTGCTTCTTTGCCTTGTCCAGCTCCTTCACTGTCTCCAGCAGCTCTGCTTGTGCCTTCTGCAGCCGCTCTATGCCCTGTAGGGAGCATCAACCATGGCAGGGACAGTCACCCCCATTGCCCAGGCAGGGGGACACGTCCTCGACCCAGTACCTTCTTGAGCATCCTCTCCTTGGAGAGGCGGGCGGTCCGGGCAGCCTCCGTGGCGAGGGCACGGTAGCTCTCTGAGGCGGTGACACGGACCTGCCCGGCGTGCGCGGTCCCCTCTATGACACCCTTCCAGACAGCGGCCACACTCCTGCAGACAGGGGCGTTAAGAAAGGGCAGGGTACTCTCCTGCATCCCTGCCAGCTTTTGGGGATGCCTAACAGGAGAATCAGCACCCTCAGCCCCTGCTGTCCCCTTAGAGTCGCGTACCACATCCTTGGGGACATCCCACCCAGGTCTGCAGCCAAATTCTGGTTACCATTAGGCATCTCCCAGCAGGGAGGGCCAAGGATGGGCACAGCTAGCCCCAGCCCCTTGTCCCCATTCCTGTTCGTGTCCCCAGCCCACCTCGAGTCGCCGGCCTCGCTGCGGCCCCGCTGCCAGTCTCTCTTCATGAACTGGCTCGCCAGCCTCTGCAGCGCCTGCAGACAGACCTGTCACCACCAGCACACCCCAACCCTACCCCAGCACCCCACTGTCCTGCTCTGGGGCTGAAACTGGGCTCCCCCACACTGACTGCCCACCTCACGTGTGTCCTCAGATCAGGGGACACACACATCCCACTGTGGCTTGGCAGGGACCCCACCATGTTCCCCATGGGAAAACCTTTTTGGGGAGCAGCCACCACCATGAGAGGACCCCCCTCGCTGCAGCTTTTGGGACAGAGAGCTGGCAAGGGGATGCCAGCAAGTGACATTGGCTGCAGAGGCAGAGTAGAGGAGCGCCCAGCAAAGCCAAGCACAGCAAGAGCCCAACCCCGGGGTGATGGTCCCCCTGCAGCCTGGAGAGGAGGGGAGAGGGGTAAGTGAGGCAGCATGGCACCTGTCTGCGGGCAGGGCATCTCTGCTGCAGGGTGTCCCCAAGGGATGCTGCGGGGACGTCTCACACAGCAAACCCAGGTTCTGCCATTTAAGAGCAGAGCCCTGTGATGACCCAGCAGACAGCAGAGCTGAGTGGTTTCCTCCCCCCGCAAGGTTTTCCCTCCAGGCCCCCAGAACACCTGAGGTTCAGGCCACGCTGTGCTCAGCAAAGCACCCCAGTGGGTGCCTTACCATGGTCTGTCTCCCCCCAGCCAGGAAAATGCTGAGCCCAGCTGCCACTGCCCTCTGTGACCAGCACGGAGCAGCCAAGCGCTGCTTTGCTCAGAAAATTCTGACACTGCCCACGGCCTGCGTGGGGCCGTGCCCTGCTCTGGTACACCCCGTGCAGGAAGGACGGGGCTCGGTGCTTGTGCCTCCCCGGGCCAACACTCCTGAAACGGGTGGCACCTCCATACCTGCCCGTACTCCCTGTCGATGGCAGCCCTCTGCTTGCTGTAGGACCTGTGGGGAGAGGGCGTGCAGGGCAGGCAAGGACCCACGCGGGGGGCAGCGATGGGCCACCCCTGGCATCAGCCCCCTGCCACCACCCCGCACTGGGATGTCCCCATCTGGCCACCCCGGTGGATGATGGAGCCCACGACCTCGACGTGGCAGGCTCAAGGTGAGCCGTGCCTGGCAAGGTGGCTCCTTGCCCCACACGTGGGATGAGCTGGCCGGTCTCAGCTCGGGGACACACCGACACGCGTGGGACCTTACCTGATGTCCTCCAGCAGCTCGACGTCACGCTGCTGCTTGCTCTGCAGGCCCGAGAGCTGCTCGAGGAGGTGGACCCGCACCTCCTGGGTGAGCTTCACCTGCAGGACGGCCCCGCTCAGCGCCTGGGGCCGCTGGGAGTCGGGGGGCGTGCGCTGCCCCCGGTACAGGATCCAGTTGCCCCCCCCGCCCCTCTCTGGGGGCCGCTGCAGGAGCCAGTGGCCACAGCCCGGCTGCGGTCCTGCTCGCCCAGCCCCGGTGAGGGTCCGCCAGGGGCGACTCCGGATCCCCGCTGCAGGATCCGGCCCCGGT